GTCACTGACTGACTGACTGAAGCGATGCTACAGGTAGTGACTGTGCTGATGCATATAAGATTAATGAACATGTGGTTGATGGGAATTAATCCCGTAACCAACAAAAGTTTAGCAGCGATTTTTAATTTTCAGCAGTGGAGTCTCATTGATCCATACCTTGAATTTACAGTTCATTTAATAATTTATTATCAAATGAAGTTCATTTACAGTTAAATGAATTGTAAATAACGAGGTGATCGACATATATCGTTTACCTACCTGCTCCCAGAACGATTTGCTCTCATGTCACTAACAAGTGGAAATTAAAGGATTCTTACCCCCAGTACACTTCAGTCAAATGCAATTAGTTTAATTTGAACGATTGAAAAAACCCATCTCCTGGAGCGTTATTGCAATAATTTGAAAACAATTGTAAAGTTAAATGACCAAAGGTTCTTCAAGGACAAAGAGTATAGATCATGAACTGTTTGACGTGTAGATTGCAATGCCCATAACCCCAATCCCAGAACATTATTTAAATGTTACATAATTACTTATAAGGAATGGAGAAATGGTGGAGGTGCAGTTCATTAACTTTGGTGAAATTAATTTTGTAGTTTTTTCTACCACATTTTTGTGTTTTTTTTACCTGATCCCATCTCAGTGGTGTTAACTTGCTGAACGTGTTTCTTCCTTGTCGTTACCATCAATAAAGACTGCAGGATATCCTCTCTTCCAGCTTTACTACAGAGGACACAATACAAGTTTTACACTAAAATAACGATTTTTCAAAGAACCCACTTGTCCACCATTTGTTTCTTTCCCGAAAGGGTGTAGTTTTTATACGTATCCAGAAGAAACAAAGCAATTGTAAGGCCAATCCTCAGTGTTAGCTAATCACACACCTATAAACATTGAGCAAATAGTGGAATAAAGGTGTTGTGCTGGTCAATAGTTTGCCCTATTTCTGTCTTTCTAAGTACATCTTTAACCTTCCCCACTCCGTATGGGTGAGCCATGTATATTGTTTTAATGCGAAGAACTTCTATCAATTGTTACATAAAAGAATTTACTTACAGCCATGTCTACATGTTTCCATCATTACTTTGTGAATCCGTGTCTTTGTATGTTGCCAATTATGTGCAAGTATATTCCCCCACAAAATACGCAGTCAATCCACTTTACAATATATTCTGTGAAGCCTGTTGAGATGTCTCAAAGGCGTGATAAGACGCTATATCAAATGTAAGGACTAGTATTATGTTTGTGTACTCGTAAGTGTGTGAATACATCTGTGGGAATGTGTGACATACTGCAGATGTGTTCCTTTCGTATGCACACACATGCCAAGGTATACCCATGTATTTATTGGGTTATATACAACATTTAATACCCGCTTGGGTGCCTTTTCAAAATATTCCTTTGAGATCACATGGATTGGAGCCCGTTTCCATCTGTTGACTTTAATTTAAGACATATCGCTTTGCTGTGAAATACTAATTTAACTACTAAAAATAAACGGAATTATTATCGTAGTGAAAAGTCTCGTGGATACGTGGATATTAAAATGATACATGGAGGTTTAGGAAAGTCGAATTGCTCATTGAAACCAGATATTTCACCGCTAATTAAGTGACATTGCTGTGAGTATTAATGAAGGGAAATGCGGTTTTATCCTGATAGGAACTCACTGGTGTTCATTCCCGTTCGAAAAGCAAACTGTGGGATTAAAATGTCACACAATTCTGCCAACAATCTCAAAGGTGAAGTTTTAACTGGAGTAAACCCAAGTTGTCGGAAGAGGTCAAGTAGGACTGAGCCAAAGGAACTTAAAATCAGACCCAACGCCAGGCTGCGAATCTGGAGCAGAAGATAACTGAGAATAAGAAGATTAGAGAAGGACCATAACATACAGTCCATTTTTTTTGTGTGGGTGCCTACATGTCGGGTCACCAGGGGTAAATGCAAACGTTTGTGTAATTAATAATCTTAGCTAATTTAATGACATAATTAAGAACACATATTGCACAATGAAGGGCGTTACACATAAGTGTCCCAAGTTGCAGGTTTTGCAACTCTTGTTGTTGACACAAACCACAAATTGTAAACACTTTCCTTAAGTGAAGGGCGTTTACGTATAGTTACTACAACCTGGAGATTCTGCAACCAGCAAATTAGTCGTTTGGTGTTGGTTGAACGTGGGGGAGGGATTCTGAACATTATAACGCCTTAACATCAAATGTTATTAGATTTGCTTTATTTTTTAAAAATATATATATTGTTCTATCTATTACGGTGGAGGAATATAGGCGACTGCACAGAATCTCTGGAAGGGCAATCGTTCCCTAACGTGTCAGTTGTGTTCATCTGTGTGGCTTCTCGAGAAGGAACACATTTTATCTTTGAAGTGCAATTCATACGGTTGCATGACCTGACTCGGGGTTTACAGTCGGATTTGCCGGGTTGTGCATGGATGTGGGTGGTGGGGGGGTGTGGTGGGGGTGGGGGGTGGGTGGGGGTGGGGGTGTCGGGGTTGGTGGTGGGGGTGGTTGGGGGTGGGGTCGGGTATGGTTGGTGGTGGGGGTGGGGTGTGGTTGGTGGTGGGGGTGGTTGGTGGTGGGGGTGGTTGGTGGTGGGGTGGTGGGGGTGGTTGGTGGTGGGGTGGTTGGTGGTGGGGGTGGGGTGGGGGTGGGGGTGGGGGTGGTTGGTGGTGGGGTGGGGGGTGGTGGTGGTGGGGTTGGTGGTGGGGTGTGGTTGGGGTGGGGGGTGGGGTGGGGGTGGTGGGGGTGGTGGGGGTGGGTGGGGGGTGGGGGGGGGTTGGTGGGGTTGGTTGGGGTGGGGGGGGTGGGGGTGGGGGGGTGGGGTTGGTTGGGGTGGGGGGGTGTGGTTGGGGTGGGGGGGTGTTGGTTGGGGTGGGGGGGTGGGGTGTGGTGGGGTGGGGGGGTTGGTGGGGTTGGTTGGGTGGGGGGGTGGGGTGTGGTGGGGTGGGGGGTTGGTGGGGGGGTGTTGGTTGGAGTGGGGGGTGGGGGGTTGGTTGGGGTGGGGGTGTTGGTTGGGGTGGGGGGGAGTGGGGGGGTTGGTTGGGGTGGGGGGTGTTGGTTGGGGTGGGGGGTTGGTTGGGGTGGGGGCTGGGTTGGTTGGGATGGGGGGGTTGGTTGGGGTGGGGGGGGAGTGGGGTGTTGGTTGGGGGGGGGATGGGGGGTGTTGGTGGTGTTGGTTGGGGTGGGGGTGTGGTGGGGGTGGGGGGGTGTTGGTTGGGTGGGGGGGGTGGGGGGGGTGTTGGTGGGGTGGGGGGGGTGGTTGGTGGGGGGGTGGGTGGGGTGGGGGGGGTGGGGGGGTGTTGGTTGGGGGGGTGGGGGTGGGGGGGGGGTTGGTTGGGGGGTGGTGGGGGTGGGGGGGTGTTGGTTGGGGGGGGTGGGGTGTGGGGGGGGTGGTGGGGTGGGGGTGGGGGGGTGTTGGTTGGGTGGGGGGTGTTGGTTGGGGTGGGGGGGGGTGGGGGGTGGGGGGGTGGGGGGTTGGTTGGGGTGGGGGGGGGAGTGGGGGTGTTGGTTGGGGTGGGGGGGGTTGGTTGGGGTGGGGGGGTTGGGGTGGGGTGGGGGGTGGGGTGTTGGTGGGTGGGGGGTGTTGGTTGGGGTGGGGGGGGGGGGGGTGGGGGGGGGGGTGGGGGGTGCATTTGAGGTCGGCGACGTTCTCGCTTTAAGGCGTTAACCTGTCACTGTGCTGCACAGCCCAGGACAGCGGGTGCGCAGGCGCGGGTCTGTGGCTCAGGTAACAGTGTCAGTGCGGCTCCGGCAGCAGCGCTGAGCACAGCGGCTCCGCTCCCTGCCTTTCCTGCCCTGCCCGCCTGCCCTGCCTGCCCGCCCTGCCTTTCCTTGCCCTGCCTGCCCTGCAGACTCCGGGACCCCGGCAAACAGGCAGCGGAGACGATTGCACCCCCCACCCCCCCCCCCCCCCCCGCCGCCTGCACAAAAGATCAGCAGAAACTGTTGCGTTTTTTTTTCTCTCTCTCTCTCCACTGATCCGAAGACGAGAAGCAGGAAAGAGCTCCCACTGCGCGACACACACACACACACATCCACACACACACACACAGAGTCCACAGCCCGGGAATCAGGGCAACAAACACACACAGAGAGAGAGAGAGAGAGAGAAGGGGGAAAAAAAGTTGGTGAAAAGTTTTGTGGATTTTAACAGGAGTGAAGCGTTCCATCCCCAGTGGGTTACTTTTGCCAAAACTGAAGCTGTTGCATGTGTGTTGCGTGTGTGTGTTGTGTGTGTGTTGCATGTGTGTTGCATGTGTGTTGTGTGTGTGTGTGTTGTGTGTGGACCAAAAATAACTCGTTACTGAAAACTGGGAAAACCAAACCACAGAGAGAGACCCGACTGATCGCAGATCCCGGAACCTCTCCAAACTGCGGACTGAATCGGTTTTGCTCGATCGGGAGGATATTTTTTTTTCTCTTTTTTTTACAACAAAGTCAAGGAGAGGGGAGTCACTGCTGAGTGTGCGCTCTCTCTCTCTCTCTCTCACTCTCTCTCTCTGTGTGTGTCTCTGCGATTTGTTGCTCACGCGTGTGTGTGTGTGTGTGTGTGTTCACGTTTCAAACGTTTTCATGTGACAGTCGGTTCGTGCAATGGCTGAACGGTGTAACTGACCACCGACCCCCGGCGGGATCTGAGCCATAAAAACCTGGCGTTTTGGGGTTTGCAAAACAAATGGATTGATTGATGCCCAACTCCAGGGAACCCAAACAAGAGTTCGCTCCTCCACGAAGCTTAAAAGTAGCCGCACGCGCCCGGAGGGAAGATACAATATTCATTTTAACAACAACCACAACAACAGCAGCAACAACAACAGAACAAAAGAAAGTTTGAAAGACCCAACAACTCCCGACGAGTGGAAAGTGGAAGACACAAGGACGGAGGCGGAGAAACGTACCCAACGGACAGTCACAGAAAAATAACAATTAGTGAGAGAAAGTGTGCGGTGTGTGTGTGTGTGTGCGGTGTGTGGTGTGTGTGTGCGGTGTGTGGTGTGTGTGTGTGTGCGGTGTGTGTGTGCGCGAAGGGAAGTGGGGACGACGTAAGGAGTTAAAGGATTGGAAGCGGACTGGAGCAGCGGATCGCTGTTTGCTGGTGTGTCGGTGTGCAGTTATGGATCAAAACCTGTAAGAGTTTCAATAACAGGTGCAACATGCTCACACAGGCCAGATCCACTCCCCTGACTGCCCTGCAATCCTGAGAGCCAACTGCTTCATGGTGACTCTCGGCTTCATCATCCCGAGAGTTTCACTATAACAGAATACTGCTCCCCAATAGGATAACTCTAATTAACCCCGAGAGCTTGGATATTTACCATTGATCCGCCTGACCCTGAAATGCAGGTGAGTGTTTACATCCCCCTTCTACTTTATAAGCTCGCTTTATTGGTTTGTTTGAGAGATGAAAAAATGCCTAATGATCTCTTGTGGGCGAATGTGACATGTTTAGTTGGCGTTGAAAACTTGCCTCGAACTGTTTGACCTGACGAGTGTGGTAAAGTGTGGCTACAGTATTGTTCTGCTGCAGCAGTGTTTGCTTCAGTCTGTTTGGAGTGTCTGTTTGCACTGAAACAGAACATTGATAAGGTAGTTTTGTCACTGACAGTATCTGTATCTCTATCCCAACCTTCGGGTATTGTTTCTCCCCCTTCTTTTCCACGAATGTATTGTCGTCAGTTTGCTTTCAGCTTCCCAGCTATTCGCTTTGGTTATATTTTTGGGGGGTTTGAAATTTGCTTTTCCTAACTCGGGAGTCGACTTAGGAAAAGTACTCCAGAATGAAAGTAATCTGAAGAAATCTGGAACCGAGGTCTTTCCCCTCCTCCCACACAAAATACATACATTTAATGGAGTTCATCAGTAAAATGCAATTGAGATATCCCATTTAAAGTTCCTAAAGTCCTGCTCATTAATCAAAGGCACAATAATCTTAGGAAACCAACCAGTCAGCTGTAGTCAAACCATTCCATTCAAACATTTTCAGGAACAACACGGGTGTTGGGGGTCCCTTTTCTAAATCTGAAAAAGATACATTCACGTTTTCTTCTTGATCCTTTGAGTTCCAGTTGGAAAATGTACCTTTCCCACACACGTGGGCGCCTTTTTAATCAAATTTTAGATGTTCTACGTCCCACTTTTCTCCAAACTGCACGTTGTGATATTGGGCAATTTTTTTTTCGATCGAATTTTCTAGTTTTAAACTAATTATCGACGAAACCGAATCTGAATCGACTTTACAACACAACTAATTTGTGTGTGTGTGTGGGGGGGGTGGGAGCTTGTGGGGCGGTTTAAATCCACATTCTAAAAGGACTCCCCCCCCCCCCCAATAAATAATAAACTACAGTTCGTGAAAGCAATTATTGTAATCGAGGGATCTGCTTCAACTGTGAGACTCGGTAGTTTTTCCTTCTTGAAAACGGAGATTGACACACATGTGTGTTACAGCTGTGATGTGGCAGGCGGGGGGTGGGGGGGTGGGGGTCCCAGGGATGGCTTTGACCTCTCGGCTGTTGTTCCATTGATTGCAAAAGGAATTAGAAAATTAAATACAACATGTTGAAGGAAAATAGCAATGGGTGCAGACTGACAGGCAATGCCTTTCTGACCCTGTCGTATCACAGTATAACGACCGATGAAACGGTGCGGTCCTATGTTTGCAGTATTGGTTGTGACTGAGGCTATTGACTCTCCCCCCCCCCCCCCCCCCAACCTTCTCCCTTTCTCTCTGATGAAGCCCGGGTTCTCTGGGGGGGGGGACCCTTTGTAATGAGTCCGAACCAAACCAGTGCCTCCCTCCAGCACATTTTGCAGCTGATTAAAATGCTTTGTGTAGCGATTTAAAGGAAACCCCATCGCAGAGCTCGTCACGGAGATGGCAGTGCCACAATGGAGGGGTCGCGGGACACGTGAAAACGGCCAACGCCGGGGATTATTTACTTGGAAAGCGGAGGGATGGCCTGGGGCAGCTCTGGGAGAACAAAAGTCACATTAGTGCTTATTAAACGCCCAATTGCAAAGCGTCCGTTAACATAGTGAAAAGCTTAAGAGTTGGGACCGTGTTTGCACAACCACTGAGCATTACAGACCGAGAGCTAATCGGGATCTGCACCGCACTGAGCATTTGACTGGTCTTTGCTGTGTCCTACAGTGGCGGTGGTCGTCACAACAGTTTAAACGTGTTCTTGCAGTGATTTGTGCGCCACGCGTTTACGACTTATAGCCGTGCATTTCACTTGGGGTTGGGAGAAGCGGGGAGGGGGGGAGGTGGGGGTCAGACCAAGTCAGTCATTGCAGAAGCAAATGTCGAAGTTTGTTCACCAAAGCCCCTGTGGCTGTGTTGCACGATGTCCCGCTTCACGCCGAGAAAAGCTGCCCTGGAAAAGTTTGGAAACCGAGAGCGCAGTGTCCGGGTGCACGTGTTTGCTCATCTCTTTTCTCCCCTTTGGGGACACTTTTGCACGTCGGGTCGGGTCCTGGTCGCACTGGTTGTGGATCGCTTTTGTTTGGTTTATATATTTTTTTACGTTCAACGGTTGCAATAGTTTTAAGACTTTGCGCAGTTTCATTGAGAGGGAATCCACTCCGAATCTACTTGTAACCGTGAGTCCGGGAGGAGCGGTTCCACAAACCACAGAACATATGGGCGGTTGAGTGGTCACCAGGTTTGGGGAAACAGTTGATGTGGAGTTAAGTTTCGTTAACGCACCAACTCGCCCCGAGACGTTGCAAACGCACAATCTCTGTTACAAGAGATCTGTTATATCTCTGTTATCTCTGTTATAAAAGGGGTCGGAACCCCTTGGTTTCCAGCCTTGGTTGCCACCGAGGACATTTTGTGGCGTTTCGAGTGAAACTGCACCGCTCATCGAATGGAGAGGGTTTCCAGGGATGTCCGATTGGTTCGCAGTGAGAGCGAAACTGGTTGCAAGTCCTTCTCTGTTGGATCGATGGAAGGTTTGAACACCATCCGGTTGAGACAGGAGAGAAGGGGGAGAGCAGCGTCCCCGCAACTCCACTTCAGCTTCGGAGGCAACACCGAGTTCGTTCATCCGCACGACAACTCTTTCCGAGTTCTCGTGATCGGATTCCAAGATACCCGGTCGCGCAGCGAACATGTAGTGAATGTTGCCTCTCGCTGGCAGAATTTTGTTATTGCAACCCATCAGCGGGGACGAATGCAATTTTTAAAATATATATATATATATCTAAAAAAAAGAAAACACGAATTCCCCGTTTCTGCGCCGTGTCCGGCAATAGTTTTTAAGACTTTGTGCGATGGGGACGTGCGCAAGAAGAGGCCAAGCGATCACTGGCGATCATTCAAACGGAGTGTTTGCAAATGTAGTGCAAGATTCAGGCTGTAAACTTGGGCTGGGGTGTGGTGGGGGGGGGGGTGGTGGGGTGGTGGGGGCTGGGGGGGGGGGGTGGAGGGGTGGTGGGGGCTGGGGGGGGGGGGGGGTGGGGGGGAACCCAACACAACAAAGTGGATGGTGTCCTGATATCCGCTCAGTGTATGCAAACGGAAAAATCACCATATATGTTCCACTCATCCTGATCCACAGCTGATTCCCTCCTGCAGTCCCAGTCCCACCTGCTCCCATTACAGTAAAGTATCGACCCAATCGCAACAGTCTCAATGGACGACCCACTCCCAGTACATTGTGGTCCAATCACATTCTCCCACTGAACCATCGCACCCATAACACAGCCATAACACAGCGCTAACGTACCATTCCATCCCATTACCCAGTACAGTATTCCTGATTCAGTCACACAATTCCTGTGTAGAAACACAGATGCTGTACAACCCTGAAACACCACGATCCGGACCGATAGAATTTCCAAATATCATGCTTTCCATTTCCTTCGATACAAGACGGATATCATTTACTTTATAAATCATAAATTTAGCTTTGAATGCCTGTAGTAGTCTGCATTCAGATGGTAAGAAACCATTAGTGATTTAAGTATTTCAACACAATACTGTTCATTTTCTAGAGACCCAAATTGGGTGTATAATCATTGTAAAAATCAACTATGCAATAGAATCTAGATTTACGTAGCGTCTTTCATGTCCAGATATCTAACTGTGTTTTGGGTTGTAGGGAAGAGAAGTGTTTGCTAGGCTGTACCTGGTTTTCAACACCTCTGGATTTTCAGAAGTGTCACTGTCAAGCTACTGACTGGTGGAGTCTCACATCCATTATTAACTGGAGTCCTGTACACTAGTGGTTAGTGCTCACCTCTCAAGCGAGAAGTCCTGGGTTTCATTCTCATGCAGGAGAAACCTCAGGCAAGTTCCCTTATTCCACTTGCCTCTGTTTACCCAGAGGTAAGCAGGAACCTGGTTGTTAGTCGATTGGCAGAACTCTTTCTGGGGCTAAAAACCTCTTTTTTTAAAAAAACTCGATCCCCAACTGTTTGTGGGACATTGCTGTGTGCAATTGGCTGCTGTGTTTCGCCCACGAGATACACAGTCAATTCACTTTGAAATATATTCTGTGGAGCGCTTTGAGATGTCTCAAGAACGTAATAAGGTGCTATATCAAATGCAAGGATTATTATTATATTACATTAGGTTTTCCTCTTTACATTATACCGTACTGATTAAGGAGCTATTCAAATTGACAACCATTAGTTTTTGTTGAATTTAATCAATGTTGGATTTTATCTTTACCTGTAAAGACAACTGCATCAAATTATTCTACTCATTTAAACTACTGACTTTCTGTAATTGATATAATTTTTGGTATGAATAGATATAGAGAAGTTTTTTTTGATGTGTAGAATTGTACCAAACATAATACTTCTAACACTCAAATCTGAAAATAGGAAGTTGTTAAATTATAAAGCATTGTTTTTATATATAATGTAATTTTAAAAAAATGTTTTGGCAGTTGTTTTTCACTGTTTAGATTGTAAACTCTTTATGCTGTCAGCTAAATAAACTACATACAGTATTACCTGTATAATCTTGGCACTGAAAAAATAGAGCAAAGCATAATTGGAAATTAAAGATTACTGTATTTTATAAAAAGCAAAATAAATTCCAAACAGGATAGAGTAGGGCTGCATTATTGTCTATTTAGTTTCATTGGAAGATGACTGTTTTAGTAGCAAAAACATACCAATGATAAAGTATGATTTTATAGTGCAGAAAATATAGCAAGATTAGTTTCATTAATTGATATTTCAACATAAGATAATTTGCAACTAATTTAAATTCTCCATAATCTAACATCTATACAGCACATGCTCCACAGACATACTTTACAGATGAAAGTAAGCAAACTGTGCAATTCAGCACTTGAATGCAGCATTAATTTTAAGTCCTGAATGTT